ATGAAAAGACAGAAAACTCGCTCTCAAGTGAAGAAACAAGGAAAACCCCCGGGAAAACCCCAAAGAAACAGAAATAAGGAGGTTTCCTGATGAATAAGTCAAAGAACCGGCCGTACAGGTGCTCACCAAAGCTGAGCGTGAAACAGGGGAACCGGGGAGAACGTCTACGAAGAGTTAGAGAGTGTGAGGAGCCACGTGGACCTGGAGGATACCGTGACTGACATGACAAGCTCCGGAGAAGGGAGGACCGTAGGTTCACGAACAATGAGAAACAGGCCAGGGACCTGGGAGATGGACTGGTGGGAATCAGCCAATCAGCACAGCAGAGAGAAATAAAAGAATCAAACAAACCAAGCATGGCTGAAGGGACCTCTGGGATACCACCAAGGGCTCAAACATTTGCAACGCAAGGATCCAAGAAGAAGAAACAAAACAGAAACTTTTTTTAAAGAAATAATGGCTGAGCCCAGCTGGTGTGGCTCAGTGAGTTGAGCATCGACCCAGGAACCAAGAGGTCACTGGTTCGATTCCTGGTCAGGGCACAGGCCGGGTTTGCAGGCTCGATCCCCAGTAGGGGGCGTGCAGGAGGCAGCCAATTGACGAAGTTTCTCTCTCATTGATGTTTCCATCGCTCTATCTCTCTCCCTTCCTGTCTCTCTAAAAATCAATAAAAAATATTTTTTTAAAAATAAGGAAATAATGGCTGAAAATTTTCCTAACCTGGGAAACAGACAGCCAGGTCCAGGAAGCACAGAGAGTTCCAAACAAGGTGAACTCAAAGAGACCCACCCTAGGGCATATTATAGTTAAAATGGCAAAAGTTAAAGATGAGACAATCGCAAAGGAAGCCTGGGTTGTGGGCTCGATCCCCAGTGGGGGGCGTGCAGGCGGCAGCTGATCAATGATTCTCTCTCATCATTGATGTTTCTATCTCTCTCTCCCTCTCCCTTTCTCTCTGAAATAATATATATTTTTTTAAAAAAATAAAAAATAAATAAAATATGACACCAATAACATAAAGCATGGACGGGTGTGTGAAAATGTAAGCCGAATAGAATATATTCAAACTTAAATGCCTATCCTCTTAAAAGAGACTGCTATAGACAACGAATGAAATACATAAACTTCAGGGTAACCACAAACCAACAACCTACATAAGATATACAAAGATCAAAGAGAAGGGATCCCAAACAAAACACTACAGAGAAACAGACAACCACAAGGGAAGAGATCAAGAGAAGAGGAAAAGAACAGTGGACAACTATAAAAACAACCAAAACAAAAAAAAAAAATGAACAAAGTGGCAATAAGCAAATGCCTATCAATAATTACTTTAGATGTAAATAGATTTTAGAGCCTTGGGTGGCTGAATGGGTTAAACAGCATGACCCATCTATACGCTGCTTACCAGAGTCTCACTTCAAATCGAAAGACACATCCAGACGGAGAGGGAAGGGGTGAGAAAATATATTCTACGCAAATAGAAAAGGAAAGAAAGCTGTACATAGGTGTTTGACACCCTGAGGTGCTTGCTGTTCAGCTGCGGACTGGGGAACGAGCCGTGTCCGGGACTAGGATTGTCAAGGCCGGCTAGGCTTGAGCCAGCACTTGCTCTCCTCTGTTCAGGGAGGGTTTAACAAAAACTTTCAAACTTCTGGCTTGGGAGTTCAGATAGGTTTGTTTGTCTTTGGATATATAAATAGTTGGTTGCTAAATGTGGTCAGATTTCCCCCTAACTGGCTGTTCCTAAATTCTTAGGGTAGGTCCTGATGAATTACACTTTTGTGAATTAATTGTCATATGTGTAATTATTTCCTTTGGGAATGTACCTAATTTGATAACTTTAAAAAAATATATTTCCGTTTAAGGTATCTATTTGCAGGTCAGAAAATGAGAAAATGTAATTGTATAATACTCTGAAATGTAAAAACAAAAAAAAAAAACAACCTGTAAATAAAATCGACTAAATCCCATAAGAAAGAAAAGAAAGAAGAAAGCTGGGGTAGCAATATTCCTATCAGACAAAAGAGATGCTAAAATACGTTTTTAAAAGACAAAGAAGGACATGTTTATAAAGGGGTCACCCCAAGAAGAGGCTATAACCGTGGCCAATACCGATGTACCCAGCATACAAGCACCTAAACGCATAAAGCAATTACTAGTCGACATAAAGGGAGACGTCCTCATGATGCAATAATAGCAGGGGATTTGAATACCCCACGCATGTCAGTGACAGGTCCTCTAGAGCGAACATACATAATGACACAGTGGCCTCAGCTTCATAGACCCCTTTACAACATTTCAGCCCGAAATCGCAGCCCTCGACTCACAGCAGAGCGAGAGCTGGTGGATAAACACGGCTTCCACGCCTTCAGGAGACTTCACCCCGAATCGAGTCTTCTGCTCTGAGTCCCATGTCCCCACACTGACAAGCTCCCCTTTGGAGGGCCGCCTGTCCCTTCCGGCCTCACCTCCTATATAAGCCACTTCCTCTCAACTTCTTATCTTAGCACCTACTTCTGGAGCCACCCCAACCAAGGCTCCTGGCCTTTTTCCTTCTATTATCCTTACCTCACTGCCATACTCCAAAGAAGGCAAAGCTTAGCAATTTTTAAAAAAATATTTTTTATTGATTTCAGAGAGGGAGAGGGAGGGAGAGAAACATCAATGATGAGAGAGAATCATGGATCGGCTGCCTCCTGCACGCCTCACACTGGGGATGGAGCCTGCAACCGGGCCTGTGCCCTGACTGGGAATCGAACCCTGACCTCCTGGTTCATAGGTCGAGGCTCAACCACTGAGCCATGGCAGCCGGGCAGCTTAGCAATTTTGGAGGGTCAAAATCCAGCGTTGTCCACAGAGCCCGTTTCTCACCTAGAAACCTATTTCCCTGTGTTTACAGCCTCGGAGCTTTGCAAGACCTGCAAAATGTTGAGACCCAAAACCTACGGCACTGGCTCGAAAACATCAAAAGAAATCTGCAACGCCCCCCGAAATATCTGCTCCTTTGAAATGTCTACAAAATGTAGTAAGTAGGCAGCCAACTGGTCAACCACCGCTCCGGTAGCTCCACGTGCAGCTGTGCACGGACTGGAATTGGTGGTGGTGGTGGGGGGGGGTGGGGTCTGCATGCAGCTGTGCACGGACTGGAATTGGTGGGGGGTGTGGGGGTCCGCGTGCAGCTGTGCACGGACTGGAATTGGTGGGGGTGTGGGGGTCCGCGTGCAGCTGTGCACAGACTGGAGTTGGTGGGGGGTGTGGGGGTCCGCGTGCAGCTGTGCACAGACTGGAATTGGTGGGGTGTGTGGGGGTCCGCGTGCAGCTGTGCACGGACTGGAATTGGTGGGGGTGTGGGGGCGTTTTCAGGGCTTGGGAAGAGGAAGGGCAGAGGCTGGACAACATGCTGATGGGCCGTGGATGTTAGAGACCAGGCCCAAGACCCGTGTGTCTAAGACAACACTTGGATTCTTCAACACAGAGGGGGCCCTGGCCGGTTTGGCTCAGTGGATAGAGCGTTGGCCTGTGCACCAAAGGGTCCTGGGTTCGATTCTGGCCCAGGGCACCTACGGCGGTTGCAGGCTCCTCCCAGGCCCGGGACCTGGTCGGGGCATGTGCAGGAGGCAGCCCAGCGATGTGTTTCTCTCACACTGATGTTCCTCTCTGTCTTTCTCTCTCTCTTCCACTCTCCCCACCGCAAACAACAACAACAACAAACAATGGAAAAATAGCCTCAGGTGAGGAGTAACAAAAATAAATTAATAAACAACAACAAAAACAAAGGGGGGGCGCAAAAAAGGCCCAGAGTTACAGACCAGGCTCTGCAGGCAGCAGTCTTTTCTGGGGGGAAGATGGCACCCACGTTCAGAATCCGATATTCGCTCCAGCCTTGCTCTGCCTTCTCTGGGATCCATGCTCCGCAGAGCAGTTCCTAGGGTGTCACCGTCTCCCCCGCCGGCTGCGGACACCTCCCGGCCCCTCCCCCACCCCCGCTCTGCATCCAGATGTGACTGGGAGGCCGCCGGGGGCCCAAGGTGATCCATCCAACAGGCCCAACCGAAGCCACCAGACGGGCAGGGCTCTGGCCGCTCCTTGATACGAAAGGTGTTTTATTTCTCGTCTCTGTGTTTTTGTCACTGCGCGCAGGCTTCCGGTATGGGGATTAATTAAAGTGTAAACATTAAATATTGATTGATGCATTATCAGCGTGGAGCAGTGGCCTCCCGTCGGATTGATTCCCATGGTGATTTATTGTCATATTTGGGGAGTCATTTCGCTTGATAACCAAGAGGGATGGCCTGCCTCTCCCTGCCCCACCTCCCACACTGGCTCCACTCCCCTCTTTCTTCCCCTGGTTCCTCCTCTTATTCTTCCAGGTGATATCAGAGTTCCAATAACTCAGACATCTTCATCTCACTGTCAAGGGAGAGTGTGTGGCCTGACATTGGTTTTGCGTATGTGTCTGTCTTGTGTGTGTCTCCCAGGCAATTATCAAATCAATTAACAACTTAACCCAGAAAATAGCAAGCCCACTCTCTTCTATGGGCTATGTCTGATTCACAAAGCTTGCCCCTACTGCACTCTGTGACAGAGGGGTATGGGCAAGTTGGGGGGGAGAGGGAGGGGAGAGTAGAAAGTGAAACAGAGAGAGAGAAAAAGGCCCTAATTCCATCTTGTCGCTTCTCTGAGGTGTGCCTGCACCAGGGAGCTGGGGAGCGGAGAGGGAATAAAGTAACAGTCCCATTTACAGTTAGTTATGAGTCTCTACAGCTGTGAACGGACAGGCCACGTTTCATCCGACTGACCCATATGAAATTGCTGTTTAGTTAAAAGTAATCAAATAGCGACTACTGCCCGGGCATCATGGCTCAGTGGTTGAGCCTCGACCTATGAACCAGGAGGTCACGGTACGATTCCCGGTCAGGGCACAGGCCCAGGTTCCAAGCTGGATCCCCAGTAGGGGGCATGCAGGAGGCAGCCGGTCCATGATTCTCTCTCATCACTGATGTTTCTGTCTCTCTCTCTCCCTTCCTCTCTGAAATCAATAAAGATAGATTTTTAAAAAAAATATATATTGACTATTTCACAGGACTCAACCTTATAGATTTAAACTCCCTTCCCACGTAGGATGGGATGGGTGTTGTTGATCCTGTTTTGCAAATGAGAACACTGGCAGGTAGAGCTACCAGTTAGTGTGAGTTTTGGCGTACAGCAGGCATGAATCTGAATGTTTTACACAATTTCCTCATGGAAAACTTACCACAGAGCCAGTGCTAGGGTCTGAATGCTTGTGTCTTCTCCAAATTCACTTGTTGAAATCCTACCCCCCAAGCTGGTAATATTAGAAGGTGGGTGGGGCCACAGGGAGGTGATTAGGTCCTGAGGGTGGGGCTCTCATGGCTGGGTTTAGTGCCCTTATGCAAGAGACCCCAGAGAGCTCCCCCTTCCCTCCCTCTACTCCCTTCCACCACATAAGGATACAAGAAATCTAGTCACCGGAAGAGGGCCTTCAGCCGACCCTGCTGGGGTCCGATCTTGGATTTTCAGCCTCCAGAACTGGGAGAAATAAATGCCTGTTGTTTCTAAGCCAGCGGGTCTGGGCTCTGTTGTTTTAGCAGCCTGCACACCCTAAGACGGGCAAACACTGCCATGTTACCCATGTTACGGATCAAAGACACAAACCACAAGCAAAGTTTCCAGAGGCTGAACAACATGCTCGGTGGAGAGCGTGTTGGACACATAAGGTTAAAGATGCCAGCACCCCGGGGTGTGTCTAATGCAGAGGGAGACTCGCAGGCACCCCAGGGCCCCTGACACTCGTCCTTGGCGGGTGTGGTCCGGCAGCCCCACAAACGGGGAGAAGAGTTTGGCTTGGGAAGCTACCCGTTTCCTCATGCCTCCGCCTTCGCAGGAGGTGGGGTATGCGCACCGTCCTGAGAGTGTCAAGGACATGGGGGGAGGGGTGACCCCCATTCTCTAAGTGGCTGTTGTGAGCAGGCGCCAGATTCGGGTCCCACGTGAAGATGTCATGTTTGAGACCTTCTGCACCGTCCCCCAGACAGGACTTGCCACTGGTCTTCCGTCTCCAGCATCCTGTTTGGAAGAGGCCCTGGGGAGCCGAGAATCTGGCCTCCGATGAGTCATCACACCATCAAGTGGCAGCAGAAAGGACGCGGCACTCCTTCCCCAAAAGCCTCCCTCTGGCCCTGGAAATGCTGGCCGCCGACTGAGGGGCCTTCTTGCCCCAGGTCTCCCTGATGCCCTCCTCTGTGCCGACACCATACAGTGCAAACTGCTTCTTCACGCGGTCAAGGGCACGCCCTCTGCTCTCTCCGCCATCCCCTTCTTCTTCTTCCACGGGCATGTTCCCCAAAACGGCCTAGAACAGAACAAAGCATGATTGGCTGCCATAGAATGACCACACCCTTGGAGAGCTTCATGCTCTGCACAGGGCAATGCACACTACACGTTACCGGTCAGTGGAAAATGCATGAACCGGCGATCGCTGTTAGAAAATCTCCTGGTACAGATGTATCTCACTATCTCACTATCTTAGACTTTCCTATGGGGAAAAAAATGCACTTGGAAATTGTTCTCTTGCCTGGCTGGAGTGGGTCAGGGGTGAAGAATTGACCTATGAACCAGGAGGTCAGGGTTCAATTCCCGGTCAGGGCGCATGCCCGGGTTGTGGGCTTGATCCCCAGTGTGGGGCATGTAGGAGGCAGCTGGTCAATGATTCCCTCTCATCATTGATGTTTCTCTCTTTCTCTCTCTCTCTCTCTCTCTCTCTCTCTCTCTCTCTCTCTCTCTCCCTTCTTCTCTGAAATAAAAAATATATATTTTTTAAAAATGTTGTTTTCTGTGTGTGTGTGCGTGTGTGTGTGCTCACCCATGTGAATGTTGGTATTGGCAATAGCGTTTGTTTTCAGCTCCTTCAGTTGAATGTTCAGAAAGTGCATTTTCCATCTTCCGTTTTCATAAGCCCATTGTGGCTACAGATGGTTCTCTACTCATTTGGACCCCGCCCCTAGGTTCTGGTGCGCGGTGCCATGAACTTATAAGTAGTTTACGATGTCAGCTTTGCCGTCTGCGTCCAAGAGTTGGTTTGGAAGGTGTTTTTAAATTTCTAAGAGAGAAAACAAATTGCAGCATATTTTCTGGAAACCGTTTCTACCGCCACTGCGAGGACCGCCTACCTTTCCTTGCGTTGTTCAAGTCCATCTCGCGGCTCTCACATTTCAAAAGTCCCATGAGAGCCCATGGGCATCTTCCCAGCCCTGCAAAGCAGAGCTGGTTTGACTGACAGGAGGGTTTGATTGACAGGCTCGGGGGACGAAGTCCACAGGGGTGAGATGGTGTTCCCAAGGTCACTGAGCAGAGAAAGGACATACGCCAAGGCCCCGGGGCGACCACTGCCTGTGTTCTCCTGCCACATCCAGTCCTGGCTCTGGAGAAGGTTCCGTGTTTCAACAATGTTTATAGAATGTCTAGCATGTGGCAGCTACGGTGCTGGTCCAGCATGAGTAACAGAGTAAAGTCTCGGCCCGCCTGGCCACTGTGTGGGGAGCTCATGTTCAGGGGAGCGAGGCCTGGAAACAGCAGAGGACCCCAGAATGCAGAGGAATCGCTGCTACAAACTCAGGGAAACAGCCAGTCCTCGTCACAAGAGCCAACGTGGCCGTGTCTACTGGGGTCCTGGGAATTCTTGCAGGTTCCCTTGACCTGGAGGCACCCCTGTGAGCACTGCCATACACCAAGGGCCATGGGGGAGTGCATGTATCTGAGCCTTGCTGTACTCATCCATAAAATGGGCAGCCATGTCAGGGTGCCATGAAGAGAGATCCTGGTACCAATGCTCAGCACCGTACCTGGCATTGTGGGGGCCCCCGAGTGGCTGAGGGAGCCCCGAGTAGTAACAGAACAGGCATCTGATCCAGGAACACGAAAATGGCACGTTGGGGAAGCATGCGGAGCTTCACGGAGACCTGCTTTATGGAGACCTGCTTCATGCTTCATGGGGACCTGCTTCATGGAGACCTGCTTCATGGAGACCTGCTTCATGGTGACCTGCTTCATGGAAACCAGATTCATGCTTCATGGAGATCTGCTTCATGGAGACCTGCTTCATGGTGACCTGCTTCATGGAAACCAGATTCATGCTTCATGGAGACCTGCTTCATGCTTCATGGAGACCTGTTTCATGGAGACCTGCTTCATGGAGACCTGCTTCATGGAGACCTGCTTCATGGAGACCTGCTTCATGGGGACCTGCTTCATGGGGACCTGCTTCATGGGGACCTGCCTCATGTTTCATGGAGACCTGCCTCATGGAGACCTGCCTCATGTTTCATGGGGACCTGCTTCATGCAATGGCACCAGGACCTGCCTGGGCATCAAAGCTGTGTCTGTGTCGCTGTCCAAGAAAAATCATTCCCTGGAAGGAAATGCCCCTAATACTTTACCCCCACCCCCACAGGACACACAAGATGCCCTCAGCACCACGCCCACCCTCTCCTGCAGGCTCACCCAGGGCTCCAACCAGGGACCCTGGGAGCGAAACCTGCGTCATTTCTTCTCACAGAAAGGGCATTCTCGCCTTGTAATCAGCCGGCACCGTCGTCTCCTGATGTTGTGGGCTACGGCCTGAAACTGTGTGTGACGGCTTAGAAAAGCTTGAAGAACAAAAAAACAACAAAAAAAGAGTTTTGAAGTCTGCTAAATGCCCACCGTCTCCATAACCACTCGAATCGGGTTATTTTTTGTAATTCCTTTAAATGAAATATCTTTGATAATAAATGCAAATTAGGGAACAATAAATTATAACTTCTAGGCTGACCAGCGACTAATTACATAGATTATAATTAACTCCAGTTTCCAACACAAGGTATTTATCTTAATAATCAGCCGCGCACATTAGCATATCTGAAAGGGATTTGCCGCACAGGCCGGGCCATTTGAGGAGCCCTCGGACCTTCCTCCCGGGACGAGGAAAGGGCGCAGACTCAAAGGAGAGGCGGTTACTTCCCAAAGACGTGCGGGCTAAGTATACGGTGAGGGGCTCAGATTATAGGCGTAGAACCCCGACTTGAAAACATTTCCCCTAAATACACCCTCTGACCACCACGCCGGAGCCTTGGGGATCTAAAAATCTATAATTTCCACGGATCCGATCCAAATACCTTTAACCCTGCTGGGCGCTGTGAATGCCGCCAGCATCCTTCCAGGCTGTGGGTGACGGTGTGAGAGCGGCCAGAGGAGACAGGGTTTTCGGGACGCCTCCCACCATCTGCGCCATCGGCAGGGAGAGCCAGTCCGCGTGGCGATGAGACGAATTCCACGGATGTCCGTCCTGTGCCGCTCTCCCAGGCATTTTATACTGTTTTTAAAAAATATATATATATTTTTTATCGATTTCAGAGAGGAAAGAAGAGCGAGAGAGAGAGAGAGAGAGAGAGAAACATCAATGATGAGAGACAATCGTTGATTGGCTGCCTCTTGCACGCCCCCCACTGGGGATCGAGCCCACAACCCGGGCATGTGCCCTTGACCGGAATCGAACCTGGGACCCTTCAGTCCACAGGCCAACGCTCTATCCACTGAGCCACACCAGCGAGGGCCCAGTCATTTTAGCAACTTCATTACCTCTCTGACCCACAGGGCTCTGCGCTCCGGGGACTGTAAACAAGATGAGGGCCTGCGCGCCCACCTGAGGCCGGCTTCAGTAAGATTCAGTGTTTGGGGTTTTTGTTTTCCTTTTTTCTTTCTTTCTTTCTTTCTTTCTTTCTTTCTCTCTCTCTCTCTCTCTCTCTCTCTCTCTCTCTCTCTTTCTAATATGTCTTTATTGATTTCAGAGAGGAAGAGAAAGGGAGAGAGATGGAAACATCAATGGTGAGAGAGAGTCATGGATTGCTGCCTCCTGCACGGCCCACACTGGGGGTCGAGCCTATAACTCAGGCCTGTGCCCTGACCAGGAATCAAACCCTGACCTCCTGGTTCATTCGTCAATGCTTGACCACCGAGCCACACCGGCTGGGCAAGAGTCAGTGTTTTGCTTTCTACATGTTCTAGAGTTCAGGGGTGCAGTGAAGAGGTAGAGAAATGGCCCCAGCAACCTGGGTTGCTTCGAGACCATGCTGCCTTCTCCTCCAGTGCCCATGAGTCTCCCTCTCTCTCTCTCTCTCTCTCTCTCTCTCTCTCTCTCTCTCTCTCTCCCTCTCTCTCTCTCTCCTTTTGATGCAGCTGTAATCCCAGCTCCGGCCACTATCGCTGCATTTTCCAACAGGTCCTGGGTCACTGTCCAGGGGACTTACACGAGTCGGACCCGCCAAAGGCACCGCGAAGGTCAAACCTTCCAGCCGCAATAGAGCACCTCCCCGATTTAATCTGGGAGATTGATGCGCAAATCACCCTGATTTCGATTTGGCGCCAGGGTTATAAACACACTTGCCACCGCCGATAACGGGGAAGATGCGCCCCAGGCGCGGGGCACTGTATTTCATGCCCTGGGTGAAGTTTTCCCTGATGCAGCCATAAATCAGCCCGCAAGGGGCGTCTGATGGAGGCAGCGAGGAAGCCAGGGATGGAGACATGAACCCGGGAAGGGCTGGGAGCCATCGGCTTGTATCAAGGCCACCGGGGCATAAACTTCCAGGGGCACAGAGCTCAGCGGGGGCTGCAGAGGGCCACGGAAGACATCTCGATGCCCGGCCGGCGTGGCTCAGCGGTTGAGCGTCGACCTATGAACCAGGAGGTCAGGGTTCGATTCCCGGTCAGGACACATGCCCGGGTTGTGGGCTCCATTCCCAGTGGGGGGCGTGTAGGAGGCAGCTGGTCAATAATGCCCTCTCATCATGGATGTTTCTCTCTCTCTCTCCCTCTCCTTTCCTCTCTGAAATCAATAATAATAAATATATATATATATATTTTAAAATGTATAGTTCTGGGCACTGGAGCAGCGGGTCTGGGAGAAGGAAGGGCAGCTTAGAAAGCCACGTCTTTCCGACACACGCACTGAACTGTGAGGAGGAGGACGCAGTGGAGTGGCGAGAGCGGGAAGCTTAAGCAGGCAATCAGACGCCGCACTGTCCCTGCAGGTCCGACCTGCCTGCCTCCACGAAAGGCTTACATCATGGTTTTTTTCTTAAGAAAGCACCAGTCATTCTAATTTATATAATCATTTCGTAAAGTGGCCCAAATGCCAGGTTGCACTGGTCCTGGGCCGTTGAGCTCAGGGCCTCCACGCCCACCCCCCTGGGCCTGGGGGCCTCTGCCTCCTGCTTAGGGTCAGCTCTCCGTTCTGCTTATGGAGAAGGTGTGCTCCCAGCTTCCTCCCGCCCTCCCCGCCCCCATTCACCTGGGGGAGCCCCAGCCAGAGGGCGGGCGCAGGGCCTTGCTCCTGGGGGCATCCGGGATGGGGAGGGCGGGGTGAGGTCCGACATGCCTGGCGAGGTGCTCCCTGGGAAGAAAAAGAACAATCCAGGCTGGAAAGAGCACAGAGAGGATTAGTAACTTGCATCACATACCGCCCTCCCCGCCCTCCCCGCCCCCAACACTCCTGTTCTCCAGGCGCAGACAAAGTCTCCGCTCACGCAGACAGCCACCCGTCTCCCCGCGCAAAACAGGACCAGCGGGCTGCATTTGCAGGAAAAAAATTGCTTCCACCTGATGCAACTAAAGGTTTCTTCAATTTAGAAAAATAAAACTGCTTCCTAACCTGCCCTCGTGGACGCCTTGCGTGTTCCTGCCGCGGAAGAGAGCGCAGGATTTGGTCTGAAGCTGAAGGCACTGGAAACCCAGCCAGGTGCTTGGAGGGGTGAGCGGCCGACCAAGAAGCCTGCTTCTCAACAGAACACCAGACCACGGTTTCCTTTCCCTTTTCATTAAAGTGAAAACACACACATACTTCCTCCTCCTCCTCCTCCTCCTCCTCCTCCTCCTCCTCCTCCTCCCCCTCCTCCTCCTCCTCTTCCTCCTCCTCCTCCTCCTCCTCCTCTTCCTCTTCCTCCTCCCCCTCCTCCTCCTCCTCCTCCTCCTCCTCCTCCCCCTCCTCCTCCTCCTCTTCCTCCTCCTCCTCCTCCTCCTCCTCTTCCTCTTCCTCCTCCCCCTCCTCCTCCTCCTCCTCCTCCTCCCCCTCCTCCTCCTCCCCCCTCCTCCTCCTCCTCCTCCTCCTCCTCCTCCTCCTCCTCCTCCTCTTCTTCCTCCTCCTCCTCCTCCTCCTCCTCCTCCTCCTCCTCCTCCTCCCTCTCCTCCCATGCGCCCTTTCTCTAGTGCAGTGATACCTTGGAAAACCAGGTGACTAAATGAAAAAGTCCGCCTTGCCTTTAGGAAGGGGGAGAATCCCAGAAATTCTTAAAGCTCAGAGGAAAGGTAACTGGCTAGTCTTCTCTCCGGCGTCATCGCATCCAAATTAAACTTTCAGGGTGACACAGTTTACACCCTCCCGGAACAGACCAAAAAGATAAGGATAAAGACCCTCCCGGCGGCACTTGGCCTGAGGTTACAACGTCAACTTAAAATAACAACACGGAAGAGAGAACGGGAGAAAAGAAATGAGTAGAAACCCTTCTCCCAAAAGGCGGGGCTCGGCCCAGGGATTAGAGAAACCCAGCCCCCTGCTCAGCGGGGCCCCTCCTTCCTCCCCTCACTCTCCCACGCCAGGCGGGAGGCTTGGGGGGCATCTGCGCCCCCCCCCCCCCCGTGTGACAACAAATCACCCCAAGGGTCCCGTGCAGGCCCAGCCAAGAGGGCGCACAAAACGCTCTTCCTTCTGCCTGCAGACGGCGGGGAACCTTCTGGATGGCGCTGCCCAGAGAGAAAAGGCAGAATTCGGGGGAGCAAGCACAGGTGGGGGAGGCCCCGTAGGTCCCCACCAGGCCCAGTGCCCCTGACCCTGGTCTTCCCAGGAGGAGGGGAGGGGGACCTGGACAGCCAACCACGTGATTCCCCAGCTAAGGGGCAGCCAGCCCGAGGGGCAGGAGGCGGACCTGCTTGTAAAACACTTCAGGTAGAGCTGGAGGAGGGGCCACATACTTCCAGGGTGAGCCTGGGCAGGGGACAGGGGGATTGTGGGACAGGCCCTGGAGACACCCCCCACACCCACCCCCTGCAGGGCCGGTTTACTATGCACTGTGCCCCTTGTCCCTGGGGGAGCGGGGACCAGATCTAACCGACTCTGACACGACTCTGCTGCACCCCGAGTCCCTGGGAGTTCACCAGCCGGGGCCTCCGCTTCCGCACTGGGAAAGGCAGGGTGACTGTGCTTCCAGTGCAGTCTGACGCCTCCCCTGGTCACCTGCGAGCTCGGCGACAGGGCGGTGATGCCTCTGTCCTATGCATCACGAACAATGAAGGAGCAAGTGATTCCTACCGGCACCCCAGGGTCAGGCGGGCTGACGGAGACGAGGCTGGAAGACACGCCCTGGTCTGGCCGGAGGCGCAGTTGGTTGGAGCCTCGTCCTGATGCGCCCAGGTGGCAGGCTCATTCCTAATCGGGGACAGGCAAGAATCAACCAATGACCAATGAATGCATAAACAGCAACTCCCTCTCTCCCCCCCCCCCTTCTTCTCTCTAAAATCAATAAATGTTTAAAAGTATATTTTAAAAAACAAAACACAGCCCTGACCACGGTACAATCTACACTGTCCTCATGGCTCAGCCTCCCTACATGCATGGCTTAGAGCAGTGATGGCGAACCTATGACACGCGTGTCAGAGGTGACACGCGTACTCATTTTTTTGGTTGATTTTTCTTTGTTAAATGGCATTTAAATATATAAAATAAATATCAAAAATGTAACTCTTTGTTTTACTATGGTTGCAAAGATCAAAAAATTTCTATATGTGACACGGCACCAGAGTTAAGTTAGGGTTTTTCAAAATGCTGACACGCCGAGCTCAAAAGGTTCGCCATCACTGGCTTAGATGGTGGGAGTGGACATTAGGAAATGTCATCTTTGCGTCTAAGTGTTAAGTCCGTATTCCTTGCAGATGTGATCTCTGGGCTCTGATAGTCTTACTAGGGGCAGATGCACGGAATTCGGGCAAGGGGCTTGGCCCTCACAGCCCCGGCTTCGTCCGGAAGGTCATCCGGAAGGACGTCCAGAAGGTTGTTCGGCTGTCCGGCCTAATTAGCATCTTATGCTTTCATTATTATAGATTAGTAATGCAGGGGTTGATGTGGGGGAAGACCCGGGGAACTGAATGAGGGAACTCGCATGGCTAGAGCCTTGGGTGTCTGTGCTGTGTGCTGTTAGGACAGGTGAGTGCCTCCCACCCAGATAGGGATGCCCACAGGGACAGCCCCCCCATCCTACTCCCCGCCCCCCGCGAGGCCGGGAGGGCCTGTGCACACCACACCTCCAGCCCTTGCTCCCTGGGGTATGTACTGTGCCCACATCTGTGTGTGTGTGTGTGTGTGTGTGTGTGTGTCTTGCTCTCGCCATCTCTTCTCTCTGGCGTCTCTCACCCCCTCCTCCGTCTCTCTGTCTGCAGCACTCCCTGCCTCCCGCGGACACCAGGCTTGATAATTATAGTTTATTGATCTCCTGGTGTTTGCTGCCCCCGGCCCGTGCTCTTCATCTTATTCCGGGCACCGTCTCGTCCATCAAGCCTGCAGAGCGCTCCGGGTTCCTAACCGGGAGAGCGCTGTGGCCTGCGCCCAGGCAGGGCCTCTCTGGGAGGTGGGCCTGACCCCACCCGCCCCGGCCTCCACACCCTCCCAGCTCCCTCCTGTGCGTCACCACAAACCAGGCTCAGCGACCAGAGAGGACAGGGCTTGCCCCCAGTCTCACAGCTGTCTGTGTGGCAGCCGGGATCCAACCCCGAGCCCGCACATGCCCACCTGCCGCAGAAGGAGCAGGACCATGGATATGGGGGACGCAGATGGCGTGAGGGGAAGGAAAAGGACCCTAAGATGCTGTTTGGGGGGGGAGCCCCTGAGACTGGCGTGACTGGCAGATTCCCCGCCCACCGCCACCCAGAAAGAGGGGTCCCCCGCCAGCCTGCCCCCTGGCCCAGCTGCTCTGGAGCCGACCTGGTTCCTGGGCTGTTTACTTCTCAGCCATAAACAGGAAGGCCGTAAAAGGGGCCCCTTCGGCCAACCATTCTTTGGCCAACTACTCAGGGATCCTCTCTCCTCCGCCCCTTCCTCTCTTCCTCTCCCTCCTCCCCCCCTCCCCCCCACAGATGTCCCCGGGCAAAGGGAGTGTTTCCTTTAGAATGCTGCCCCCTCCCCAGGCCTTTGTCCCCAGGCCTTCAGGTCTTCTCATGCCGCCCCCAGGCTGGGAATTCCAAGCGTGAAAGTCACTCCTGAGCAGAGAACAGAGGGAGAGACCCTCCCCCCGCCCCCCCCATCCCCCGCCCCCCTCCCAGGGAGCCCAAGGCCACCCAAGGACACATGGTTATGGGGACAGGCAGCAGTGAGGCCCCAGGCTCCCCTGGGTGGCCCACTGTGGTTGTTGTTTGTTTGTTTTGTTTTGTTTTTTAGTGTGAGTAGAAAGGAAACATTTCCTGGAAAGGGAAAACTACAATTCTAAGAGAAACCTAGAAAGAGATTAGATACGGGGAGGTGAGGAGAGGAGCCGCACGCACACTTACACAACCCCCCAGAGAATTGTCTCTACCACATCCTCTCCCCAGAGACCCCGGGGAGAAAAAAGGAACAGAGATTCCGCAACCAGAAGATGTGCCGTGGTCATGGCCTATGAAGGGTCCTGAGAAGCCCTGCGGCCAAGGGCCACGCTGGGGAACTCGATTTTCCAAACACCTTCGCCAGGATGGGTCTATGCCCACAGGTGGCCTGTGTCTCCCTGGGGCAGGGGCCATCCTCTCTGTGCTGTGGGGTTTCTGGGCTCGTGCCTGAGGGCGGAGGTTCCAGCCACTAACCAGCCTCTTCAGCGGCTTTCAATGCCAGAAATTTAGTGTTAAGAGTCACGCAGACATAACCTTTTTAGCAAATATCTTCCCACTGGTTTCAGAGAAGAAGAGAGAGAGAGATAGAAACATCCATGATGAGAGAGAATCGGGGATCGGCTGCCTCCTGCACGCCCCCTATTGGGGATCGAGCCCTCAACCCGGGCATGTGCCCTTGACCAGAATTGAACCCGGGACCCTTTAGTCCACAGGCTGACACTCTATCAGCAAACTCATTAGTCAACAGAGCCAAATATCAACAGTACAAAAATTGAAATTTCTTTTGAGAACCAAATTTTTTAAACTTAAACTATATAGGTAGGTACATTGTTATTGACTTAATTAGGGTACTCCTAAGGCTTAGGAAGAGCCATACTCAAGGGGCCAAAGAGCCGCAGTTTGCCGACCATGGCTCTATCCAATGAGCCAAACCGGCCAGGGCTATAGTTAACCCTTTAATAACACGGGGCTTAGGGGTGCTGACCCCTGCAAAGTCGCAGATCCACATACGTTTAGCTCTATAGTTGGCCCTTTGCACCCATACATTCCATATCCATTGGGGGAGAAGCCGTGGATGGGAATCCCGTGGACACAAAGGACCGGCTGCATTTATTGGGGGGAATCCCCCATGGGTGTAAGTCACACAGGTCAAAACCGTGTTGCTCAAGGTTCAGCTGCATTTGTGTGTAAGGATGACGCTCTCCTACAAACAAGCAAATAACCCCGGCAGCACATTTTCTGCGGGGCCGAGTCCTTGAAAATGTACGTGACTCTCTCCACCCTCAACAACATCCCACGCCCATCATCTTACTGCGTGAGCCTGTCTGGGCACTGGACAGCCGACCGCAACCCTTTATGCCACATCCACCTGCCCCCATGGAGCCTTCTAGACTGCCGCACGGACCCCCCACCCTGCTCCTCTCCGTCCACCTCATCACCCTGACCACGTCCCCATGACTGGATGGGATTTTGGGGGGGTTGGTTGTTTGTTTAACAAAATGGGGGGTGTTATCAGGACTGAAACTGGTGAAGCTTGGCCTCGAAGCGTTCAAAAAAAGAAAAAAAAAGACTTCAGTCAATTGCCTATGTGTAATAATTGGGATTTTATGTTAAAACCCTGGTCTTCCTTAAAAAAAAGAAAATCAGCAGATTTGGCAACGATTGGCCCACATTCCTTTACAACCGGCCGCTGGAGCTGACCGGCCGCCTGGAGGTGGACACGTGTCTAGTTTACTTAACGAACCCCCCTCCCCATCCGTATGTCACCAGGAAGCGGGGACACCCAGCCGTGTAGCCCTGTCCGCCACCAACTAACTGCAGTATCTTGAGGACGTTCTACACTTTCTGGGCCTCGATTTTTCATCTAGAAAATGGGAACGTTAACACCCTCCCTATGTCAGTCAGGTTCAGCTGGGTTTGCTGAGGTTTAATAACAATTAATCTCCGAGGTCTTAGTGAGTGAACAGAATAAAGCCTGTTACACTCACGCTCTATGTTTGCTGTTGGTGGACGGGAGGTGCGGGGGGAGGTGGGGGAGTGGAGCCTGAGACCCGGGCATGTGCCCTGATCGGGAATCGAACCGTGACCTCCTGGTTCATAGGTCAATGCTCAACCACTGAGTCAGGTGGGCCGAGCGGGCCGACCCTTCTTGGAAGGTGTGTCCCCAGTCCAGTCAGCAGCCCTGTCCCTCCAGGCCCCCTCCCCTCGCGGCTCAGGACCGGGGCCCCTCTGATTGAGCAGATCTCCCCAACATCAACTCCAAACGGCGTTTGTTTCCAGGCCCTGCCGCCGGGGCTCTATGCGTGACTTCGCATCGCGCTCTCTGTGTTCCCTCTGCGGGTCCCGGCCATCCTTCGGGTAAAGAACAAGAATATTCTGGGCGCTAGTGAACGGCAGCGTCGGGTGGGAGGTTGCGCTGCTGGGGACAAGGGGTTAGATATTTCAGTGGCGCAGCCCACCCACTCACCCGCGGGCTGACCGAAAACAAACCCCAAAGGAGGACGCGGGTCCATCCTCCCAGCTCCTCCTGGTTTCGGAACATCTCACTGCCGGGCCCAGGGTCTGGCAAGGACTTTTGGAGCCCGAATTAGACGCGGAACAACCTCCCAGGGTCTCCGTCAGGCACGTAGGATCGCGCCCCTCACACAGCCCCGGGTCTGGCCTGCGTGTGTCTGACGATCGGTTCAATACCTCCGTGGCGCCTGAGAGGTTTTTAATACAGATATTAAATACATCCATATCGCCGCCTCCGTGAGAGCGCATGCCACTGGCTCCTCCGGGCCTTCCGCGCTATTTGCTGCTGACACACACGATTAAAACTAAAGCCGCCCCGAGGAGGCGGCCGTCTTCCACGCTATTAGGACGAATGTTATCATTTAAGTGGCTGTGGAGCTTTGCCAGCCTCCGCGGCCCCAGATAACGGCGGAAACATGATCGCGTGAGATAATCCGCGCGGAAACGACTGTCATCGGCCGCAATATGCCGTTCGGATGCTTAGTTAAGACTTACGCTCTCCAACAAACAGCGATGCCGTCGACAGAACGGAGGCCGTCCGTGCCACGATTAGATAGAGAT